AGTGAAGTTCCACTTTCAAAATGATGTCTTTTAAAAAAAAAAAAAAATCATATTTCCCAAATCCCATTCTTGCACTATACGCACTTTTAGTCATTTTAGAAAGCTATTTTTTTTTTTTTTTTTTTTTTTTTTTTTTCCTTTTTATATGTACTATTTAAAAAAAATTTTTTTTCAATGTTATACCGCAATACATGAAGCATATTGAGTTCAGTTGTGTCTGAAATGCACACTAAACAACCCCTAGCTACTTGCCTAGGTACTGGTCAACGTTGAAACAATGTGAACATTTTTTATTTCTCATTAAGCCCCTTGTATAATGCGCCCCCCCCCTCCCCCCCAACCTGGATTTTTTTTTTTTGGGGTGTGTGTGTATGTGTGTGTGTGTGTTGTTCACAGGATCATACAGGAGCTCATCCTGCTAGTGAGGAGAAAGAGGGTACTCGTGGCTGGAGATCAAGGTCACGGCCGATCTGCTCAAAGGGCTTTCGATAAGACACGGTTTCAGTTCATCTTTTTGTTTGTTTCACCCAAATAACCTTTTAGTGAACAATATCATAGTCTGGTATGCATATATACAGTAGCGCTAGCGACACGTCAGTAAACTTGGGTTCCACAAAAGCATGAGCGCTACTCGCTTCCTTACCGTCTCTCCGCTCGGATCACTCTTGACACTGTGCGCACAGCTTCTTTTTGGGGGTTTTCTTGACGCCCCCCCCCCACCCCCGTCCGTTCCCGTTTCAATCTTCCATGTGTGACTTTTTCCGATTCTCACCCGAGGGCCCAAGATGGCCGAATTCTACCGGCCCGTCTTTTTGTTTTCTTCTTCTCTCCTTTTCCCAGAGGCGAACGTTGAAGCGCGTGAGGAAAAACCAAAAGCCGCAAAGTCGCTCACCAAACGGGCCAGCCGTTGTTCTCGTTATTATGATGGTTTTGATTTCTCTGTTACAAAGAAAAGAGAAAAAGCCTCGCTGTCTCTGACGGACGCAATATTCCTCCAATCCATTCCCCGTAGCTGTGTTTTTGGTTTTTTTTCCGGACCACAGTTTCTTGTGTCATACAGACCAAAAGCATGCAAATGGCCTGGTGTCGTCGTGACCCGACCGGACACTGGTGGTGTTCTGCAACTGTCTGCTGTACCTTTTCGTTGAAATGAATGTGCCTCTGCTTTGATATTTAAAGAATTATCTCGAGTCAAGACGTGGATCTGCCAGATTTCCCATGTTAAGGTGCCTTGCGACGGCATAAGAAATTAGATTTGTAAATGAACGTGGCTTTGTTTTGTTTTTTTTTTTCTTTCGATATCATTTGGAGAGAGATCTCATGTCTTTGTCTGCTATAAAGCTGTTCATAGATGTAGAGGTGCGGCTAAACTTTTTTTTTTTTGGGGGGGGCGGGGTGGGTGTATCGTGTATCATGTCTAGGAGAATACTGTGCCATAGAGAACCCTCGAAATATGTCCCTTATTTTTTTGGAAAGAAAATACACAAAAAAAAGAGAGATGTTTTTATGTTGCCTGAGGACTTTGTCTTTAGATTTGATACAAAGGCTCGTAGCCTCAGCTTTCCCAAAGTCTGTAGTCTCCTTTTCCGAAGTCTTCTTGACGCCCAAGTCCCCCCCCCCCACCCCCCATTTCTGTCTCTTTGCTGCAATCAAACAAAAATAAAGTATTAACCTGATGACCCAATGAAACAAAGTCACCTTTTTGGTTTGGAATTGGACCATCGATGCAAATGGAAATGGAGTTACACAACGTAATTCTGAAAAATAATTGGAAACACGTTTTTAAAAGGAACATGCTATTTGACATTTAGCATTTTTGTTTCATTGGTTAATTTATCAAATGTCAATCATGAATAATTGGTCACATTTATGAAGTGTAAAATGAAAATGTACGATTGAAAACATTTAACACGATTGGATCAAATAATGGGTTCCTTCATTTTGTGCAAAATGAAAAAAAAACATTTTTACGTGTACATTCTCAAATCAAAGATTAAATTGTGAATCAATATAAAATTAAATGAATTATTAAATGTGTTTAACTTCATTTTTTATGAAAAAAATTTATATTCATTTGGTGTAAAATAAAAATAAGCTGTAAACCTAGACCAGGGGTCGGGAACCTATGGCTCTTTTGATGATTGCATCTGGCTCGCAGATAAAACAAAATATTATCGCTTGTTTGATCCATCCATCGATTTTTTTTTTTTTTACTGCTCATTTCCTGTTCAGGGCTGCAGTTGGCTCCAGGAGCAATTTTGATTGGATAATACTGGCTTACGTTGGCCGTTGCTGCGGAAACAGGTAAACGCCCCTTTTTGAATCAGCCCGCTCGGTCATTAGCTCAAAGCTAATCCTAAAGGAAGAAGATGGCGAAAAGAAAAAAAGATAACGAATATGGTACACTTCAGGACGAATGGACCGAATGATTCACCTTTGTGGAGAGAACAGGTTCTGCGGTGTGTCTGATTTGCAATGACAAAATACCATCGATGAAACGGTCGAATGAATTTAAAGCGGCACTTTGACACGAGCCATGCTACGTTCGCATCAAAATACCCTGCGAGAGACGGCAGAAAGGAAGCGCGCAAGCTACTGAACAGGGTTCAAGCTAGCCAGCAGCAACTCCGCGTCTGGACCCGGCAAACTGACGATAATTCCGCCAGTTTTGCTGGATTTTTAGCAGTTGTGAGGAACGGAAAACCATTCACATTAATGGTGAGTATTATCACAAAATTATTTAAAAAAAGATATTCAGAGGCTTATTAAACTGACATTTTGTCGAATTCACCTTTAAAATAGTTTTATATAAATATATGTGTGTGTGTGTGTGTGTGTGTGTGTTTAAATGAACATATTTCTTTGAATCAAATAAAAATGTATTGAAAAAGAAAATTATTCAACTAAAATGATGCACAGATATATTTTTTAAAATGTAATTAAATTTTGGCAGAATTTATTGAGTGTCAAATGATTTATTCGTTACACAATTTAATAACTGCTGAATTCATTTGCTGTGAAATGAAAAATACTGACGTGACAGTATGGATTTACATGAATTGGAAAAAATAAAAAGGGGCCCGTTGAATGAATGATGTTATGAAAATGAGCCATGAGATGAAACGTTGTTTTCTGTCGGTGGTGGGTGCAGGCCTCCTTTTTTTCTGGCCTCCGACTCACCCATACGCCGGCAGAAAACGCCGGCAAGTGTCTTTGGCGGCTTTGCCGCCGCTGCCCTTTTGCATGATGAACTGTGTGTTGCCCTCATTTGTTTATCCTCTTAGTCACGGCGTCCAAATCGATAGGGCGCCAGCTCGCTTGCCCTCTGGACCGGCGCACAGTCCAGGACGACACACTCCTCGG